GGGGATGCAGGGTCGCACTGCCGCAGGTATCACTGTCTCGGAGTCAGATAGCGACACCTTGGAAGAGCTGCGATGCACACTACAGGTTCGTCGCTTTGTCTACTGTCTCTCACTAACCAGTGAGTGTATACCTAAATCTATGCATCCAGGTAGCTCAAAAACGCCCAGTTTGATAGACTCAAAAATGTATATTCAACGCAGGCTTCGGAAATAAGCTCGTTGGCCGTACTTCACACATCCCCGACTCTCGCCACTGGCCTGGACGTCCTAGTCTCTCATAAAAAAGCAGGTTTCATGTATCCTCTTATGTCTCTCAATCATTGCTAGGAGTATCGTCATTGCATTGACATTATTTTGACAGTGCCGGTTGACAAGGCCCACTGAGCTGTGCACACCCGTTTGTATCGCGCAAGTGGCTTCTTCTGTGCATGTCCTTACGTATTGCAATAACCTCGTTGTTTCAAACTCACAGCGAATCAGCGTGCGTCAGGACTACGCGGTATAAACATGTTGAACGGGTTACACACCGAAGCTGTGAGTTCTTTCGAACGTTCACTACATCTCGGAACATGACGGCTATATTATAGTCTTGGTGGCTTCCGATATTTACCGTCCATCTCAGCAAGTTCTTGGACGCGATTCATCCTCTGCATATTTACCGGCGGAATCTATACATTCATAATCGTCGGAACATTTAAATAATCTTGCTTTGAGCAGTGAATCCGGCCGGAAAGGTTAACACCCCATGGCTTTCGTAATAATGTGAATGATGCAGCGAAGACGCCTATCAACGTATCAAAGCACAGCGACTGAATGATGGGATTAAGCGAATCCCGTACGAGGCTACCTGAACTCATTGGGCGCACTTGATAGGGTCTATAACAGAAGTGGTCAACGGTTAGTGCAACAGCAGTAGTGACTCGAAGATAAAATCCCGTTTCCCATCACACTGGGTTATGGTTCGAGGAATACAAAGATGTATTCTAAAACTTAGAAGTTTGAATAAGATTCAGATACATGCGAGTTGCCGAAGCTGGAAACTGAAGTGGTTAAATGCGGTTAAATAAGCCATTGCTTCAAAATTCTGAAGCCGGTGCTATATGATACCGTGAGCAACTCAATTCACTGCGCAATTCCGTCGGTGCGTGACTCGCGGAGTTACACAGAGTAGGTTTCGCGGCAACGCATTTAAATGATCTTCAGGGATCTAATGCAGGCCTGACAGTGAGCATTTCCGGGAATGGTTCTGCGCTACGAAATGGTTCGAGTACGAATGCCGGTCACTTATCCTCACTCCGCTGTTTTCGGTATCCATTATCAGCCTGTGGGGCTCCACGGTTTAATTAGGAATTCTTTTGGGGAGGGCCCCGATCCTGTATGGACAAAAACATCCTTTCTGGGTTGATTAAAAGCTAAAGAACACGAAGAATCCATGTCGTTGTTAGCGACGTAAAAAATGACAGCTGCGTTCCGACCACTCGCCTTATATTATGTCTATGCGCAGCCTTCAATTGAATGTTGTTGAGCTCAGCATCGTGCTCGTGTTCTATACCATCAATTGGTCATCAGCTACTGAATTGAAGTTTGTGCTGCTACCCCGAGACGCTTATCACAAGCCTATGTCTTATACTAATTTTCGGAGGTTCATTACCGTTGACGAATCATACCAAAAACTCGAAAGTCCTAAAAGAGACTGAAGACGGGCAAGTAGACCCGGTCCGGTATTGAGTCGCGATGGTTTGAAAGTCGGAAGATTACAGAAGGAGTAAGCTTAAGGGCCAGAACATGTCTTTTTCTGGAACTATTCCAAGCGATTTCTGCATACAGGTAGATTGGAATATTTCCCTCTACTTGTAACTTTTCGCGACATCATTGGTCTGTCAAAGATTTTGGTTCAGTAATGCCCGATATCTTCTGTCAGGTGTGATATAATGCATTTCTTTGAGTACCGGTACCAAATATAGATACACTGCTAGGACCTGATATAAGGCAGACCTCGTTCTCCAAACCGATCCTCATTCAATCCCTGCCTTGCATCTAAATCAGTACCGCTCTCTCATCCTCTTATTTCACAATTCATCATGTGCATTTCGTCCTCATTCTCCTCGACACCCTCCCGCAAGGATTACCATCCATGCGGTTGTAATGTGTCGAACAAAACGTGGCAGTCGCCATCGTCCGACTCGCCAATGTTCATGCATGCCAAACCCAGACCCAACGCCCCGCAATGCTGCCACTGCGGATGGAGGGGTGAACATGCTCCAGGGTGCCCATTCAAGTAAGCGACCTGGATCCAAGCCAGTCACGGTAATTCTCCTTCCACTCTCTATTTTCCTACCGCTCACTAGTCTCCTGTCCTCAGGACCCATAACCAACTGCGATTCTTGCTTCGCCCGTCCTTGCGCTGTGAATTTCTCCCAATTTGTGACCATCATTTACTATCGCTTTGTCTGCTTTGTTTTCAAGTCCCACTGCTATTCCTCTTTTCCTAATTTCCTGCCATCGTCTTCGAATGCTATCGCCCCTTTCCATACAGATGAAATCCTTATATTGATTCTTACTATTCTTTTTGCCATTTATCTCGTATATTTATTATGTAGGTTCTGAACTGGTCGTACTTAAACATTACGCTATGACTAACAAATCGTAACATCCCTGAAGATAAGATGGTGCCCTATTTCCTCATTCTCGTGATAAGCTCTTGCGTCCTTACGTTCAAAGTATTCTTTGATACACAGCCTAGCCATCACTACCTTATCTTCCACCACGAACTCTTCTTGAAACGGCCGATTGGAAGCAGCATACTAGTATGCTTCAAGAAATATCGGCAGCGAGAACTACAAAGACAATGAAACACAGGACATCCAAGTTGTGAAATTCACCAACAAAACCATCCTCTCACCGACCATATAATCCCTCCTGAAGCTTCGACGCACCCACCACACATGATGTCGAAACTACAGACTGACCTCGAGCAAGAACAGTGTCTTCGTGAACATGACTTGTCACAGTGGATATGCTTCTTGATCAGCGTTGATGGACTGCGATAACCGTGAAACAGCTAATCCACTAGGAGTGTGCGAACAATATTACCGGAAATACAAACTGGGGCCGTTAAAACTAGAGAAGTCTGATGGACATTCTAGAACGACGCGAGCTCACTGTCCCCAACACTTCTCCGAAAGTTCACCCCGTTGCCGTTCCGACACAAATACAGCTATGAACCTTGCATCATAAACACAGGTCTGCACCTATGGCATATAAGCTAGATTTATTTCTCGGAATAGTCGTGAGGCATGCCTAACAAGCTTGAACACCTTTCAGTTCGAGAACGAAAGTAGCTCGGTAACCTTCGGCTCTTTCCTTTCCAAGCCACCACCGTCTAAATTTTCAGTACTTCCCTACCTTATTAGGATCTGGCGCCGGTAACACCACCGCCACCACCTAAAGTAGAACGGACCGCACTGAAAAACCTGGATATGAAGACCCTACGCAGGACTCTGAATACATGGCTTTCGCTGTTTCAGTCTCCTTCCGGAGTGGTATGTTATCCTTCTTGAAACTACACTTTGGCAGATCTCGCAAGGAGCCGTAGCGCTATGTTGTCTTTTTCCAGGATATCTCTGGTGATGTGTGAACTATGGCACGTGCGCCAAGAAATGCTCTAAAAAGAATTGGTCATGCATTACCGCTAAAGACAATTATCACGCTACCATTGCTATCCTTGACTCTACGGACCAGCGTCAAGCATACGAATTTCGTCTCTTCCACATTGTGAGTGGGAAACGCCTCTGTAAGACTTTCCAGACAGGCGGGGCAATATACCACAAATCCGAATTTGCCTTCGGATAATGTCCTCCGCCGTTGTGCCGAGTTCTTCAATGGACAATGTCATGCAGATGTCTTTGCAACTTGAACTGATATGAACGTTCCGTTCCGATCACGAGACCCTTCTATGCCTCTCAAAATTCAAGTCAGAATACTACCTTGTCCTGTCTTCCTATCCCCCATGTCGCAGAAAGATTGCCATTCTTGGATCGACTCACTCACGTACCTTCCAACGGAAGTATCGTGGAATCTGCTAGGAACAATCTCTGTGGGTCACCAACTGAAGAGAATACGCATTATCCGTACATTGACCTACAGCCCAATCCTCCCACGTGCAACTGAAATGCACTCTCAGCCACTCCAACGATTCCCTTCAATACTCGACATCGTCCTCAAGCTCAGAAGTAACACCGTCACGCGATTTCGGTAACCTATTCGATATCGAGTCTACGGATCTCTCTTTCGGGCTACTCAACGCGTCAAGGAGGTAGGGACGTGTAATCCCGTCTTTGCCTGTCGAACTCACGCATTTCCAGTACCTACCCCTTCGACCTTCGGACGACCGACGCGTTTTTTGATGGTTTGGGTGGTGAAACAGACGCGGTGAATGCGTGAGTGGTGCGACTTCATTATTGTTGTCGCACTTATTGACAGGACGCGTGTCGGTACATAGCGCTGAAATCGTCGACCTTTTAGATACTGCTGGAATGTGCGTCGGCACAAAAGAGGACGTCTGGAATAGCGACATTGATCTTGGCCTTATGAGTGGTGAATCCAGCAACAGTGACACGTCTGTTAGGTGCGGTTCCTGTTATTAATACTTACGCGTCTTTGCCTATGGTTATCCTTCAGTACGAATGCAATCTCAATCTCTGCAAACGATCCTCCAACCGCATCATCACAAAGTCCTCCTTTCCACAGGTAACTTGTCTCACTTTCTTCCCCATCAGTTATCCTGACGTGATTAGCGCGGCATTTCCTATCTCTCCCAGTCAAGGCGACGCATCGGACTATCATTCCCACGTGGACGACCTATACCGATCCTGGAGACTCCCATCTTTCGGTGCAGCTCCAGACCACAATCACTAAGCGTGTATAGATCCCATTGGGTGGAATGATAGGTGTGTGTCATTTCATCCATAGCGTGGCACTTTACTCATTCTCACATTTGATTTCATCTGCGCTTTCAACCAGTGGAGCACTCTACCTCCAGAACGATGATGACTGTTACAACCAAGCGTCTCGGAATCCAAAGTTGTTAATAAAAGTCCGATATACTTGAAACGCTCAGTGCGCAAGCTAGTATGGTGAGATATTGACGCCTCGACTGGTAGTGAGATGGAGTCAAAAAGGAGAAAAGTCAACCGACATGGAGCCCCTTCGGAAGGGAAATTTGACGGTAACAATAGGTGTCTCTCAAAGAGGATGCAGAGAGCAGTTGTATCACAAGAACCAATGGAATAAGCAAACGCAGACTGCGCAGTGTCATATTACCGGCTTCGGTCTTACGTATCACGATTCTTGGCTCAACGCCAAGTAGAAGACTTGGGAACGGCCTAGTCATCGAATGTAATACGAGATATACGATCCAAGCTATAGTGAGTCAGGAACGTGTCACTAACGCAGCGGGGGAAGTGACTTGCAGAGACAAGACGGCCGTAACACGTTGCAAATCAAGCCAAGGTGAGCGCGGACAACGTCCATGGGTAGATGTATGCGGAGTCCTGGCCCATCGAATTTAAGAAAGAACCCTGCAGACGGGGACCAATAATGAGAAGGAAACAGCTTTGAAAGTGACAATGGCTCACCGGCACCATCCACAATATCTCGTCACAATTCCTTCCTATCCTTTCGGCAAGGGATTATTTGAGGCTCCACCAACAGTCAAGTCAGTCTTCGGCCAAATTAATCCGCTGAACACGTACCTCGAGCTTTTCCGCAGCCATTTCGGACGGAGATAAGATTGTCTCCACGTTTGGCGCGTATACAGAGAGCAGGGATAGATGGGTCGGTGAAGGGGTGGTTCAGAGTCAAGGACGTCTCGGCAACGTTCATCATACGAGGAGTAAGCGATTGACGGGATCAAGAGTGTGAGAAGGAATCGCCTCACGAAAGGATACCTAGGGAATAGAAGAGAGCCAGTACTAATGGCGTCAAGATCCTTCCTCGTTAGCCGGGTGCTGTGAAAGACCTCGACCAGAGACTCGGAGGGATCACTAGCTAAATATCAGAAATCCATAAATAAATCTAGAAAAAATGGGAATGAATACCCCCCGGGAGAAAGAACGGGGGGTGCAAAGGGACCTGAAGTAATCACGAAGGACATCAACCAGCCGTGCCGTGAGATCCACTAGATGAACCTTGAAGCTCCGTTCGTCGGGGTCATCCAGGAAGTACACATCCGGGTTCTGATTCGCGGAACAACATCGGCGCAAGACGTTCATAGCATAATTGTCCGCTTAGATATGAAAAAAAAGGTCAAGCATCTGGAAGGAACGTAGCAACAGTCGAGTCGATCGATTGGCCAAGTATTCACATCTGTGCGATAAATCGACAAACAAGCCACCGAAGATAAGAAAGTACACGTACCTAGTCAATCTCGTCCAGAAACGGAAGCAATGATAAACGTAGCATTGATGTCTCGAAAGGTCCCCAGAGCCATCGGTGGAAAACTCCAAAACAAGTCAAAAAAAGATGGTGCAGACAGAGATTTGTGCGCGTTGACCCTAGTTAGACTGCATGAGAAAGGAGTGAGACGAAAGAAAGGCCACATGGAGCCCTCAAGGAAATGAAAGTTAGCGGTAACGCCAGGCCTCTTGGTCTCATCGCAGCAGAGAGCGGTCACGCCGCAAGAACACTGTCGACTAGTCCTAAAGCTGCGGGACGTCGCGCTACAGGGCCTTCGGCGTTAGGCATCTCATTTCTTGGGCTCACGATCACTCAGAAGACTTGAGAACAGGGTAGTCATTGAATAGAATAAGCAGAAATTGAAGCTAAACTATGTTGAGTCAGAAGGGCCGTCATTAAGGTAAAAGATATCAACGTACCATCAAGTACAAAATACAAAAGCTGAATGAATCAGTCGTCGTGTCTTGTTCTGCATCAAAGATATGAGATGTAGAGTTCTATGAACGGAAGGGGAACTGACCCAAGGAAGCTCTTACGAGAAATGAACTACGTGTTGTGCGCCAAGCTAAGGCAAGCGTAGGCGAGGAGCATATGTATCCGCGTAAGAACGTCAAAAGTAGATGTATGCGCAATAACATCATCGTGAACCCAGAAGTACAGCCAGTACGTAGGAAGGAATGACTACGCGGCACGGGACGCTGGGCATAGATACGTAGACGACGAATTCGCTGTCGGACCGTTGCATTAGCCTACATCGAAGACGTGAGATGTAGGACTGCATGAACAGAACGTGTGAGCTGACTCAGAAAACAGACGTAGAAATCCCTTGGGAAGAAGACGGGCCGTAACATTTCCCGCGTCAAGCCTAGGCAAGTGAGGGCGACGTCCATGGGTATTTGCAAGTGTTCAAAGACGCATGCGAAAGAGCGTCTCTGAGTACCGGCGACGTACTCTGACTAGGCCCATCGTGTCCATCCAATCAGAGGGAGCAAATATCTGCATCGCCTAAGCATGAGAAGGAGACAGATTCGAAATAACAACGCACTGAATAAGTACCTCGAGTTTTTCCGGCCCAATTTTGCACAGCTTGCACGCTGTTTACGCCATGAGGTCTTCTCCACGTTTGAGCGCATCGAAGGGACACTGGATGGGTCGGTCGTGCGCACAGTCCAGGAGTAGTTCGGAGCCAAGGACATCTCGGTGGAGGGAATCTAAGCGTAAGTCGTATGGTGTTATGCAAGGAAGTACTGGACTAGACGATCCACATGAGTAAACAACGGACGAAGGATAAAATTTCGGAGTCACCTACAGTGAAATCTTCAATCTTGCTAGCCGGCCTACGCTGGACTCTCCAATACCATTGTAAGGTGCTGAAGCGCGTCTGATTCCGGCGATAGATCACCAATTGAAGGTACCCATGGGAAAAAGAGGTCAGCAGCTGGGATACAGGAGATGGACCTGAGAGGGGGGAGCATAGTGACGGTAGGAAAGAAAGGAACAAGGACCTGGTCTGGCCGTCAATCACGTCAGCCGTACCCCGAACACCCCATGCACGGGCCCGCGACGCGTCAGGACTTACGGAACATCGGCATGTTCTGTTTGTGATGATTTGGCGTCCGATCCTCACTCTCCTCCCGCTATGTTCCTTAAATCGATAGGCTTCATTTGGATTCCGGTTCCTCCTCCCTACTTTTTTGCCCCCAAGTAGATCATCAAACCGTTGACTATTCCCTGATGCATATTTCGACGGTTACTTGCTACCGACTACGCCGGGTTGGATAACGCTTCCTCCAACATTCCTTCCCATGAAATACCTGGAGCAACATGGGTAGGATACTGGTAGTCATCAGGTGCGTAGCTCATCATTATCGCAAATTCATCTCTAACTATAACCATATAGTCATAGAAACCACTTTCTACTGCTTAGCAAGCCGTCCGTTGTCTTGTCGGACAAATCTCGTCACCTCCATGGAAGGACGGTCCACGGTAGAGGTCGAATGCGAGCGGACAAGGGGCCGCCTTCTCGGTACTACCTCGAGGATTCGCAGCAGTCGATGAGCTGCTTCAAGTTTTCGTAGAAACCGTCAGCCACCTTCCGTTGAGGCGGAGATCCGGCAGGTAAGCCCATCATATTTCTATTACTATCAGAATCTGCTTATCTTCCTCGCTCTCAGTGTTAATGAACAGCAAAGGTAAATAACAGCAGCCCGATAATGACGCGTCTACTGGGATCTTAAGAACGAGACAGCCCCAGATCGGTGCAGATACAGGCGGACCAGTGGAATACTGGTAAGTCCACGAACGTGTTGCTCTTCTCTACAAACTAAGAACTCAGAATTCAGACACGATCGCAGGGCGCTCCAGTTCAGTGTGTTACTAGGACACGAGTTCAAATAACATGCGGCCCAACGAGCGATCTGTGGTCCGTCGTAAAGTCTCTTCTCTTTCTGCGTAAAACTAACGGAGCTTTTGAAAGTAGTAAAAAATTCATTGCGGTTCTTAGTGCCCAACACGGGCAGTACGTCGTCGTAAAGTCCGTACTTACTCGAGTTCGTTGCTGACAACGATGAGGGCACAACGGAATGCTCATTTGCTACCGATGTTGAACATGCAAGGTTAGAAATACAGCCTGAACAACTCCGACTCCGAGACATCATAGACGATCGGGAGAACGTCTAGGAACGCGGTGGTTCGATTCCCTGCGCTTGTTTACCGCTGAGCCAACAATGCTTTTTTCGTGCCTGTCACAGGTTACTCTCGCAGCCGTACCTTTTCTCAGTCTGTCATAACATCCGTCAGAGAATAATGAATCACTCTCCTTATTGGACACCCTCCGCTCTAGAGTCTGATTTCTCACGCCAAAATGGATCAAGGGCGTATCAGGCAGGCTGCGCATGATTCGATTCCATGGTTCAGCTCATAGACGAGGTAACACCAGGTATTTTTTTCTCGGTTTTCTTTCTAGAGGGTGTTGCTTATTTGAGAGATACTGATCGTATATCAGCGGGATGGCTGGATCTCAAGCTTGGCTTCGGTTCGAGTCCGGTACTACACGAGAAATATATGACATACTTTTGGCGAGGTCTGTCACTTGATTATTATCAATACAAATTCGATTCAGAGAGCTCGCTTGCTCGCCGTAAAGAAGACATCCCGCGTAGTGAGGAGATCATCAGCTGCTCCTGGTAAAGAGGCTACTGGTCATCGTGCAGTGCTCTCTTTCCCATACATAGACCTTTTCTTATACAAGGCGGGGAATGTAGTCCATTTATTAAGCTACTATAGATTAATGGACGCTCAGCCCATCTCTTGGCGAAGATCATCGCGGTTCGATTCCGCACTGTAGCATTTCTGCAATCTTCGCGATTTTTGGATCTCTTCCTATCTTGATCCACCGTGTATCGAGCTGTATGTGTACACCTGAAACGGAAGATCATCCTGTCGAGAGGTTCAGTCGACACCTACCATCGGGTTTTTCGGAGGTCCCTATTTATAGATGAGTGGTCCGCATTCAATAGCGCGATCGTTACCATACTTTAGATTATTTTTCGTTCCGATGCACCTCAGTCTTTTACACCCAATACGAGTGAAGACTGAGGTACGTTTTTACTGCTTTGCATATTGATATAGTACTTATAACTACGTAGATCGTTGTTTCTTGACACATCCTAAGTGATTATTTGACTACTCTAACAACAGACCAGTGGTTCGATTCCTCACAGCAGTTTGCAATTTCCGTTAGAATGTTTTGTTTTTACTCTCAAAAATCCTTCGGAGACGATCACGGGCTTCGACGGACCGGAACACGTGGTGGTGAGCGAGTAACAAACAACCTTTAAATTTTCTCATCTTGGCTTTCTTACCGTCATAGATCACATCATGGTGATGATCGCCTTTCTGTGTCGGGAAGGAATGAGTCGTCGGAACCTTCCCCGTAAAAGGTCTATTCGATGAAGTTGATGATCTCAGTGGATCCCAATGCTAGTCGCCATCTCCTCTGAGCCCATAGTACAAGGGATTGATCCTTATTGCGTCTGTAAACGAGGGCCCCGGAGGCGTTTGATTCTTCTTCATACCGAATTCAATAGCAAGGTGCCAAGAACATCTCTATCGGACAAATGTTTATCCGTAAGGAAAGTGATGAAAATTCCGTCCTTCAGTGCAGCTACGTAGCACTTCTTTTTCCTGATCACCCCGTGGACCGCCCCGTTCCTCGAAACAGTCGTTCCCACACAATCTTATCGCACCAGTAAAATTAAGAATGAAACTAGCGCCACATGTTGGTTGACGCCTGATTGACGCGTTTAAATTCCCTCGTTATGGACAAGTGAATACTTTGACTCGGCATTTTGGCCTATTT